TCACTGTCAACAACATAGCCCGCTAAACTCGAAAACCATGTAAAATATATCTGCATGTTTACCAGCATGCAGCAGCCATGACAGTTCACGCTCGACGTACTGAGACTTTCGCTTGAAATTTAGAACAACTAGGAACAACCTAAAAAAAGCAAATGTCGATGTTTATAAACGACTGTCCTGAAATGTATCACAAAAATATCGATAAATAAAACCATTTCAAGTGTTATTTTTACGCAAATAGCGATATGTATGCTTAAAATAAGGGAATTCCTAAAAAGATCCGCTCCTATAGAATCTAAATTCTCATTGACTGTTCCAAAATAAAATCTATCAAGGTCAGTAAACATGGCTGATAAATTCAAGTTGTTGACATACACGAAAAATAACCGATATATGGGTCGTTGTGAATATATTTGGATGGATTTATGTCTTGCATAATTACTTTTTTGGAGTCCAGGTTATGCCTAGGTCACATTTCCCGGCCGGTAGCCGTAGACCAGTGGTAATCGGTGGTAATTTGTGGTGTTAACGATCCCCCAACATCGGTACACATCGGCCTAGAAGTCCTTAAAGTATCAGTCACATTATCAACGCTGGGTATACGATGGGCAACCAATGTGTTTTATGATAAAAATGGCGTTGTTAGCCGGCCAGACTTACAAAGGCCCAGCGATGCATTGCTAATCATAAAACGATGTTCCGAGATAATCGGCCGATGTATATTACATCGCTCATACATTGGTGAACATCGTTTGTACATCGGTCGACTACGGGCGAATGTTTGGTTGAACATCGACCGATGATCGGCCGTTATCTGTTGAACACTATTCAACTCCCCTAATGACCTCAGATTCAACGGATATTGGACGATGCTCGGCCATACATTGGCCGATCCTTGAAAGATGTGTTAATGATGGGTTGCTGATGAGGAGCGATGTGAGGCATCGTTGGAGACATCGCTGAATTTTAACTACGAATTATTTCCTACCGATGACCCCACCGATTCGTAAAATGGCTTCAGTCACCGTCCGATCACTAGTGGTGCCCGGCCGGTAACCACGCCATTTTCATCAAAAAATGCATCGGTTTCTCATGGTATACCCCATCGCTGGATAATGTGACTGATACTTAAGAGATGTTAATAAAATAGCCGTTTACTGATGATTTGAGCCGAAATCCGTGCGGGAGTGATTCACAGCCGCATTTGCACCACTACGGAGATCCTAAGGAGTTGTAGCCCCCCCCCCCAAAAAAAAAAAAAAATCGGAGAGGGCTACATTATTGCGGCTACCCTTTGGTGTGACAAACAAAGAAAGGTTATAAAAGTAACTCACTTGCACTGGATGAAAAATCTACTGAAACTCTGCGGAAACTTAAGGTTACTAATAGTTTCCGTAAAGTTTCAGTGCGGAAACTTCAAGTTTAATCAAGTTTCCGTAGTGCGGAAACCAAAGGTGTCCACGAATCCAAATAGTTTCCGCAACTGAAACTTGCTGAAACTTGAGGTATACGCAAGGTTTCAGTATGCGTTTGTGGTTGAAATACATATAGTGTACCATAGGTTTCCGCAACTGAAACTTGCTGAAACTTGAGGTTTACGCAAGGTTTCAGTTTGCATATACGGTTGAAATACATATAGTGTACCATAGGTTTCCGCAACAGAAACTGTACTATAAATTATACAATTTAGCCCAGCTTTTCAACCAAAACTCATTTTCCCCCTGAATTTTCATATTGGAAAAAACAAAACACACTCACACTAGTTTTCAAAGAATATTTAATGTTATTATCAACATTTACATACATTGGCTTGGCCATTTATTTTCTCTTGCATCATAAATATTTTTACAACTAAGTCCGAGCTCTCATGTCACAACAGGAGGACAGAGAAAATGTCAGCATTTAATGATGTCTCATACATGAGAGATATAATCTTGCGAGAGGAACTTAGAACTGCAATCAATCAACTAAACCTGAATTCGGTATATGCAAGTCTAGTATCATCAAAGAAATGTAAAAGTACTTGGTATAATAAATGCACAAGTTCACATCATTAGTAGCCAATAAGCACCAAGGTGGATTTCTTTGTTAAATATTCAGTTTGTAGTCCATCATCAACCAACAGAAAAGTCCTTGAGTGGTCCACATTTTTGAAGACCCACTTGCGCTTCAAGTTCAAGTTGGATTGACCTGCTCGTCAGTTACTTCAACCTATTGAAAATATATAAAAATATAGTTTAACAAAATCCCAATCTAAATAAAACAACAGGTTAGATCCTCTTGCATACTCGCTACACAACATCTAACAACATCCATAGAAGGTCACGTCAAATATCAAATGCGGAACAACTCAGACTCTAGACTTATTCATTCTAATAAATCAAATACAATAATTTTTGCATTCGAGTATTTGATTGGTTAATAGAATTTAACGTCTGACGTGACACTCTACAGGATGCCATTAGATTTTAGCCAATATGTGCGCAGATCTAACATTTAATTTTAATAAGATTGACAAACTGAAAGTTCTTAAAACTGTTCTAGCACAAGCCTTTGTTTAATTAATTTCATATTTTCAACATTTTTGATCAGAATGATTTAAAATAAAATCTAAAAATTTATCAAGTTTAGAATATCATTAGTAGTGATTAGTTTATTAAAGTTGCCTCTTTTAAACACTTGACAAGAGATAATGAAATAAACAAACTTGAATTTATTTAAATGTACTGAATATGTATGTATGGATTTGTTTCTAATAAGATTTTCAGAGTAAATTAAGGATTTTTTTTCTTCATTTTACTTGTTCATCAAAATATTTTTGTACCCCTAACCTAGACCCTTAGACCATGATTCATGATATTTGAATAACAACTAGAGGCACACAGACCTTATAGGTCACCTGAGTATCATGTAAAGCCTAGAAAAAAATATGTTTGTTCCCGACCGACCCTTAATTTTTTTAATGCTTTTGTCCCATGAAGTGCAAGACTTCACCCTGGGAATTATAGTCTCCAACTTTGCAAGCTTTTCAACATGTTCAAGACAGAAAGAAGTTTGAGTTACCATTCTTTTAAGTCACAGAAATGCTTGAAAACACCATTTCTTTTGTCATTATTGTTACTTCTATACACTTTTTGATTCAAGAAGCAAAAAAAAAAAAAAATGTTTCAAAAAAAAAAAAAAAATAATAATTACCTACCTATCTACCTATATTTTTTCAGCCTAAAAAAATGCACAGAGATTGTTAATTACATTCTCTTTGTTATTATTTTTTTTGCATATTTAAAAACGTTTTCGTAATACAACATACACTCGATGTTATTTAATGTAACAGTCAAGTCAATCAAGAGCTGGCTTAATTTCAATTAAACAATTGAGTTCCCCCCCCCCCCTCTTTACAGCTGCACCGTCAAAATATTACATGTACTTATTCCAATGCGATAAGGAATTTAAATTCTGATGAATTTCAAATTCAAACCATGCTTAGCGCTTCCCAGTACTCTCAGTACTTTGATTAATAGATATGAAAACACCAGAGCTCTAAATAATATTTAATGTATTGTAAACTAAAACGAAGCAGTATCGGTTTTCAGAACCCGCACCCCACTTTTTTTGTAGAAATGTGGAAATCAGATCTTAAAATAATAAGAAAAGATACTAAAACTTCTTGGAAATATTAAGTTACTATTTACATTTGTTGAAGCGAGATTTGCACACCTTTACAGTGTCGAATGCTTTTTATTGACATTAAAATCACGTGTACTTCGTGTGAACTTGAAGTAGGAAATCAAAAGCCGATGATGACTTTTAAAGAAATTGATTTGTTGATTTAAAAGAAAATTAATTTCACTGCCTGGTATATTTACTAAAAATCAGAATTTTATTTGAAACAGGCGCAGACGTCTGAGAAATGGAGGCGGGCTTAAATCTCTTCCTCTCTCCCTCTCTCTCCCCCTTTCTTTTATTTGTTCGTTTAGTTAAAATTATGACAGCATATATGATATGAAATTTTGAATCTCTAACAAATAATGTGAATGCCTCTTTGCATCATCTTGTCAGAGTATAGTCACGTCCTGGAAATGTCTACACATACACGTTGAAGCTCAAGTCTGCTACAAATCATCATAAAGAATAAAATTGATATTATTGCATTAAAATACAAGTGTATATGATATATGCAATACGTCCACGGACTTTTGTAAATAAAAAAACAAAATAAAACAAAACGAAAGTTCAGTTACAATTACAATTTTACAGCAATTAAAGTTGTTATTAAAGAATAATGTATATACGTGCAAAAAATATCATAAGAAACCTAAATTAATAATTTTTCTTAATGTGCATGTATCGTCTTCCTTAAATCAATTTTGTAAAAAAAAGATTTACATTGTAATTATTTATTTAATAATTTTCTATTTATCATATATTTATATTTTAGCACCTTTGGCGATCTGCTCGCTTTCCAGCTTTCACCGTTAACACATTGTTTAACTAGTTGCGTTCAGTGTTCTGTGTTCAAAGATTGTTCACTCACCATTCGCTCACAGTGTTCGTTCACCGGTCAAGCGGGAAAGTAGAACTTTTCAGGGACTGTACATTTAAGGAAATGTGAAAGAATAACAGAAATATAAAGGAATCCTAGCCCAGACAAAATGATGCTAAAATATGAAGTTATCATAGGATCTTTTTTCGAAATTATTTAGAACTGAACATCAGAGTCTATTTGACGTTCACTGAACAACAAAATTATTTCTCATTTTCCAAATTAATTTAGCTCAATCTTGGTCGCTTTTCCTGCTTATAGCTTTATTTCTTTAATCAATTTGAAATCCTTTCAGATTTTTCTATTCCTTTATTGATTTTTTATAATTAAGTGGCAGACAATAAAATGTACTATTGCAATGTCTTCACCAGGTATGTCGAGTTAAATTATTGGAGATTTTAATTTTTCTTTACATGAAAATTAAAATGAAAAAAAAAAGATATTTATTCATTTTTAGGACAGACAGTGCGGATATCAGCAGAATTTCTAAATGGAAGGCTGATATTTAAATGGAGCAATATCTCGACAATTCCTAACGATATAGTCATTACAAAGAATTCTAAATCCACTGACTGGATACGGGTTGATGATGACCAATACACAGTGGAGGATGTACTACAGTATAAGTCAGTCAAGATTCAAGTACGGGAATTTAACAACGCAGACTTCAGCAAAGGTTACCTAGACTACGTCAAGACTTACAACAGTAATTATACTTTAATAAAAGATAATTAAAATGAAACATTTAATTTTCAAAAGAAACGTATCTGGAAAGATTAAAATATGACCAAATTTAACATAGGATTTTTCCAGATAAAGCAAAATAAAAATTCCTATTTAAAAAGATATGCCAATGTAAATCATCGTTTATTATTGGTAGTAGTTAGTAGGTGTATCTGATTTCCCTCTCAGTTTTTTATCAGCTATTATGAGCTACGAAAACACTGGTCAACATTCAAAAAACATTTATTTCATCTTCGGAGTACATTTAAGTCTACGAGATGGCTTGGGGCCTATATTGTAGAGGAAATGTTAGCTATGACATCGTACTACTAACCTACGAATTCTAAAACGCACATTAAGATGAAATTATATGGAAAGTAAATCGACAATAATGAAGCGTAATGGAATAACGAACAGTATCCAAGATTAAAAGTCCATTCAAGAATACAAAATCGGGGCAGACAAACACGGACCTCTAAAACATCAGACTTGGGATCCGGTGCCATGGAGGAATGAGCATCCCCTGCCGACCGGTCACACCCGCTGTGTGATCCTTGTCATTATCGAAAAGAAAACCCCGGAAAAATCCGCCCTCGATTCATTGTATAGATAACGGACAAACGGTTGAAATGAAAATAGTCAGTCAGCATTTGACTCAACGATAAATTGTATTTGCTGACAAGGTAATTGTACCAACCATAGAACTTACGAAATAATGACTTTAAATGAGACTGAATAACAATTGAATTGAAATGAAACTTATCAGAATTTGCTGTTTAATCATCAGTTAAATCCCGTATAGCACGATATAAACAAATCACTGATCGTCATGCACTTGCCGAGTTGTTCAGTGAACGTCAAATTGAAAATGTTGACGTTTTTTGTATGCAGCGAAAGGCAGAGCAAAAAGCTTTTTTCACAAAGAAAAATGCATTTAATTAAACTTAAGGACTAACGTTTTGAGACGTTTGTTTTCAAAATAAACCACATTTTTATGTTTTAAAAGCCTCCAATCGAAGAACAGATTTAAACGAAAAAGGAGTCAGTAAATTATGTTTTTTTTTTACCTTTCTAAAGAACCAAAATTTTCTCTTTTTTTATTTTTGTGTCATTTTGTATTTTAATTTGATTTCTTTACATGTGTGCCATATGCGAACATAAGAAAAAAAATATATATATACATATGATGTACATGTAAATCAAGGAACTATTGCTCCCTAAAAAAGATGTGTTTGTGAAACACTACTGATGCCCCCGTATTGCAACAAAGCAAAGATTTAACTTTTCTTAAATGCTAATTCAATATATTGGTACCAAAAGTAGGGCATTCACACTGGAAATACATTGTGAAATTTGAAATTAGACCAAGCTTATTTTTTTCATAAGTACGGAAGTCTTCAAGGTCGGTTATTGGTATCCTATGAAAGATCTTGCCAAAAAAATACATATGTGAAGTATGGAAGCGCTAGACCTAACCGTTCAAAAATTATGATCAAGGATAGAAAATTTTAAAGTAGGTTAAACTCCGAGGTCAAAGGTTCAAAGTTCTTGGTATCCAATGAACGCTTTTTTTCACAAGAATTACTTATGTGAAGTATGAAAGCCCTATCCCTAACCTTTTAAAAGTTATGGCCAAAGGTAAGTTTTTTTTGAGTTAAAAAATCTCCTAGGTCAATGTCAAAAGGTCAATGTATTTGGTATCCAATAAAAATCTTGCCAAATAGCACAAATATGTACAGCAATGTATGGAAGCGCTAACCCTAACCGTTCAAAAGTAATGGCCAAGGGTAAAAATTTGAAAAGTGGGTCAAACTCCAAGATAAAGGTCAAAGATCTTGCTATCAAATGAAATGTCTTGTCATAAAAATAAAATATATAAAGTATGAAAGCACTAGCCCTACCATGTGAAAGTTACGGGCAAGGTTTGATTTTTGAAAGTAGGTCAAACTCCAAGGTCAAGGCTCAAATGATCATTTCTCAAGGATCACATATTTGAAGTATGAAAACCCTATCCCTTACAGTTGAAAAGTTATGAACAAGGTTAAAGTTTTTCAAAAGTAAGGAAATATCTAAGGTCAAAGTCAAAAGGTCAAAATTGTTTGTAAAAATGAAACGTCTTTCAGGAAAAATTACATATAAGAAGTATAAATGTCCTGAGTTTACTGCTTAAAAGATTTGGCCAAAGTAAAAGTTTAGAATTTTTGTGTAAAAGAAAATGAAACTCCAAGGTCAAGGTCAAAAGGTCAAATTTGGTGGTACCCAATGAAATGTCTTGTCACATAGAATATGCATGTGAAATATGAAAGTTATAGCTCCACTTAATCAAAAGTTATAGGCAAGGTTAAAGTATTGCGGACAAACAGGCAGACAGAGAGACAGAAAGGCAGACGAACGGACACGATAAAAACTATAAACCCCCGCAACATCGTTTACAGGGGCACAAAAAGTAAGAAGAATAGAAAACAAAATCGAAAATAAAAAAGTCAATACCAATTTAAGCTAAATTGTTTATCTTAATGTGGTGATATCATATAATAGACCTTATATAGTGAGATATTTTTATGCAAAAAACAAAGATTTTATCTTTTGAATTATAAGAAGAGATCAAATGAATTGAAACGCTATTTTTTATTCATTAATGTAATTTTAAAAAAAAGTGCAATGTGTTTTTATAATTTTACATAATTTTGATACATATATCCTTATGATCTGATACATTCGTGCACGAATAGATTTGTTGGCAAGTACGTTGAAGGATACGCAGCACAGTTAAGGTTACAAAAAGGTGGCGGAGCCTAATTTGTACGGGAAAACTTGACTATGACATCATACACAATATACGTCATACAAAATTTCTTTAAATTACCACAAAATGAGTTTATCTGCTAATTTAACCAGTAAGAAATCATCAAACTACGTAAAAACTTACTACAGCGTGTTGTTTTGTCGTTTGTTAAATCCCACATAACAAGTTATAAACAAGTTACTGATCGTAATACACTTGTCAATATGACGTCATTTCTTACAACGTGACGTAGTTTGTATGCAGTGAGAGACAGATCAAGTAATATTTTCTCAACAAAATATGCATTCTCTAATTAAATGAAATATTATTTACAGACATTCTATTGGCCAATAACTTGAATTTAATGTCTTCTTCACTATTTTATTAATACATTTTCTGTACATTACGTATTTAATTGACTCTGCCGTATATTTGTATGCACATCGGAGGGTAGTGTGGGGGGTCTTAATAAATCGATCTAGTGCAAGGGCATATACTCGATGGATCAAAGTAAGCTTTTACATTTTAACTATACAACTATTAAGGTATCTGAAAAGTGCTGCGATCCTGATGAAATCTTAAAAACAATTTAATTATATCAATATCTCATGCCGCTGACCAGCAAAAAATATAGCATTCGGTCATACAAGTATAATTTTAACAATGAAATTACAGAATTTAGACAGGATTGCAGCACTTTTTAGAAACTACAATGCTTGTTGAAAATATTTATATACTAAACTTGGAAATTTAACTTGATTATGCCCTTGCACTAGTGATATTTATGTGTAACATCAATACTTCAAGTCAATGTGCTAAAATCGCGTGACTGCCGCATCACGTGACTAGTCTAAATACAAAATATAATCGTCCTCGATATGTAGTTATTAATCATAATTACAGTTATCCGATATAAATAATGTACTAAAAATAATCGCCATCCCGATTACGAATACATTTTTAAATACAAAATTTAGTCGATATTTCCATTGCGCACCTTAACTGTACTGCGTAATGTAAGGGTAATTACTGATGTGCAAGGAATCAAACATTTACATGTTAACATAAACACTTTTGCAAACCTATTTTTGTATTCATTTAAAACAGACTTTGACCAAAAACTTAAAATAGAAATGTCATATATTTAGATAGTGAACAGTATTTAACCTCAAAAGTCCATTAAACAATACATATTTGAAGAAGAGCAAACACGGACCTCCAAAACATCAGAGCCGGAATCAGGTTCCCCTGCTGACCGAAAACACTTGCTGTGGCCTTCATCTCAACATTTAGATATATCGACAACACATTAATAGTAACAAAGGTTATTTCTATTCTTATGTCGATAAGATATATCACAAAGAGCTTGAAATAAAAGATAACGTATAGTCTGACACATCTGTTTAATATAAGAAAATTTTACTAGAAAAGGACGTCAATGATAATCTAACAACCACGCAGTTTGATAAAGGTGATAATTTTAACCTTTCAATGCTCAACTTCCCTTACTTATGCAGCAATAGACCTTCACCACCTGCAGACGGGGTTCATGTCTCAGTTGATTTGATAAACTTAAGTGTGTTCTTCATATGAAAATTTTTAAAAACTTGGTAGGTTATTGATAAACAAGTTAATCAAACAAGAATATCAATAGTCTCATTTAAAGGCATCATTGCGTATGTTCTATGGGTATAACAATGACTTTATCAGCAAACAATTTATCATTCAGCCAAATGCTGACTGACGTTTTCATATTAATGGTACAACAGATATTTTCATATTGAATTGTCAATTTCCCGACCATGACAAAGAGGTGGATGTGAGCATTCGGCAGGGAATGCTTACTCCTCTATGACATCTGATCCCATCTCTGATGTTTTAGAGGCCCGTGATTGCTCTCCTCCTAAATTCTTAGTTTGAATACTATGCAATATCTCATATATTTCATTGAACAACATTATTTTTTCAAAGTGCTGCAATTCTTGAACCGAAAACCGCAGTTGAACAGCAATTAACCACACAAATATTTACCAAACAATCATGTAAATGCAAAATATACAATCTACAGATATAGATTTCAATCTATAGATTTCTTATACTCTAGTGGGGTTTTAAAAATATTTTTATATTTAACTTTGAAATAACGTGGTTACTTCAAGAATCTACATTTATAATGTATCTTAATACTGCAAGTGTAACGGCTAAAATCAGTGACTGCGATATAAAGTGACGAGTCAAAAAAGAAAATATATCCGTCCTTAAATATCTAGTTAACATCCATAATAACATCCATCATATTTTGGTTAGATTTCTATAAAGAAATCCATCGTAATAAAGAATGTCTTTTATTACAAAAGAATCTGATCTTGCCACTGGGCATCTAATTTGTACTGAAAATTGATCCTATAACCGTTTTCAAAAAAACTTTAAAATTGTATTCAGCTTTGCAAGACTACTGTTTTTGAGTTCATTCACGTAATAAAAAAAATTGGAGAATATTTATTCTTTCATATACTTTGTTTTTAATGTAGGGTAAAATACTTTTAAGAAAATAATTAACAAGAAAGATTCATGCTGAACTGTCAAAAGATTGTGTTTCGTTCATTGCTTTTTAGTTGCAGTAAATACAGTACATTCTATGGAAGGAGAATCAAAAAACATTTCAATGACTGCTGATTATTTTCCGAGAAGTGGATTTTACTTTATATTTCATGAGTATAACGGTTCAGTATCAGCTATAATACAGATAGGTAATGTCATTCAAATGAAGACTAAAAAATATATATACCATAGCCGACCTTTCAATTCTGTAAACATACTGTTTGAAGTGAGAAATATAACATTGGAAGATGCTGGATATTATTTTGGAAGTCCTTCACAGATAAGAGATACCGTTTGGAGAAATTCTTGGACAGAAAGAGGAGTTGTTCTCACTGTTTCTGGTAAACCTGTAAAACATCTGATGAAATAGAAATACAAATGTGGTTACATTCCTTGGGTTAAAAGTAAACGAACATATAACGAAGGAATTCATATTTCTTTAATGTGCTAAATGCATAAGGGAAATAATCTTTTTTACAGAGATTGATTTTGGAACATAAAAGAACTATATAGGTTGAATTTTATCGCATTGACTTCAAATTAATTTTTTAATGTAATACTGCATAAATGTATGAACGAATATGAGAGAAATATATTCATACCAAATTTTCTATTTACCTCATTAAATAAAACAAAATGAATAATCTATTTAGGAAAGCCATTGAAACCTATGATGACAGGAAACAGTAATGTAAAGGTGGGGCATACCGCCTTCTGGAAATGTGAAAGTAGATCTACGTCTGCTCCGTCCTATTACAAGAAGTTCCCGCCATTATCGTATTCATGGTTTGTCAACAACACCAGACTAGAAAGAGAGGTCAGAGAGACTTACAGTTTTGTAGTCACCAAAGAAATTAAATACAACCGATATAGCTGTCAGGCAAAAGAGAATCTAGAATCAGAAAGAAGTCAGGAAACTCGAATAAAACCCTTACGTAAGTAGGAAATATTTTAACAATAAAGTTCGCGTTTTGTGAATCTTGCAGGATAACCTCCATCGAGAAACGTTGTTTGAAAGATAAAAGCGGAGGCTTACCCGAGGCTTTAATATTTCAATCAGCATTTCAAAACAGAGGAGGTTATCCTGCATCATTCACGACAACAAGGACTTTATTTCTATTCATTTTATTCTACTAAGAGCTCTAAAATAAAGCTGCTCGTATCCTCAATATGGAAACGAAAAAGTCATATTGTCATGTTTTGCTGTTCCTTTTAACATCAGACGGGAAATGTGTTGATTATCTGCGCATGGAATGCAGACTATTTAAAAATAGCCTTTTATTAATTACAAAGAACTATATGCGGTATATTGCATATCTTTGCCCCCACAAAAGTCAAATTTTGAAAGATTCTTAAAATGTGTTGAATTGTTTAAATTGTTTGAAAAATATAAATTAACAAAACATATTATAATTTCAAAGTAGGTTATTGACAATTTTTGTTTATATGACGTCACAAACTAGTCGGAATTTGCATTATTTTTTAGAAAAAGAATTTAAAGAGTGCAGGTCTGCTCAGGAACAATATTTGTAGATTTAATTGATATTATAATTCTACACATTATATCAAAATATTGACCCTAAGCATACCTGCACTCGGTGAATTTTACTCAAAATATCGACGCAATATTTGCATTTTTCTGTAGAAACCATGGAATTTTTAAATTTACGCTACTTTTCTGATGTCATTTCAAACATAAGACGACATTGCTAATGAAAATATTCAGTGTTTGAAGTCAGCATGTATCCCCCTGTTTCAGAACATAATTAAATATTACTCATTTAAAATTTGATTTTGGGGGCAAATATTGGTTATTATCGAATAAAGTCCTTTGTTCCTAACACATTTTGATAAATTCTTTAAAATGAGTGTTTAATAACAAACTCATTTTTCTAATCTATTGCTTAAATAAGGACTAAAATAACGTTGTTTAAATTGTGTAGGGGGTCCGTAGAACAGCTCCAAATAGCTATAAAAACCAACATTCATCATCAACTTTATGCAATTTACAGTGTTTAGACTGCAAAAGACAACACATCGATGTGGTCTAAATAAGTACATAATTCTCGAGTCAAATATGTATTTGAACTGTTCACGTTTAATTTTGATCTGCTTTTTTCATGACGTTCGTGTTTATTGGAAAATAATGTCTGCGGCATTTCTTTGATCTTGGTTATAATCGTGGTAGAATTCCTGTTAATATAGGGCTCGTCAGACCCAAACACTGTTATTTAAGATATATACATGTACAAGTAAATACTTCACTTGTTCGAAACAAATGATAGACTGATTGTATATTGTATTACGTGTCGGCGAGGGGATTCAAATATAGACCATTACTCAACAGTCACCAGGATTAATATGTTCTTAACAGTGATGGAGCTTTATTATGCCAATGTCTACCGTGACGTTATACCTTGGATTTCAAAGTCCAATCGTAAAGATCCACAACTTTTATTTCTATGTGAAGAACGCCTGTCGAATGAACAATCTCTATCAATTTTTTTTTCGATTTAGGCCGTCTTCACGGCAGCTCAGTCGGGAAAGTGTTCGCTGCGTGATCAGTAGGCCATGAGTTCGAATCTCGTCTGTCACTGGCCTAAGTCAATAAAAAGGGAGCAAATGTTCCTTCGCAAGACGCTCGTCACTTTGAAGTATAAGATGAGGGACTTTCGGATGAGACCTTATAGCTGAACGAACTTGATTTGTAAAAGGAATAAGTCCGCCAAACCTAGACCGGTCACGGTAGCCTAGTGGTAGAGCGTTCGCTTCGTGATCGGGAGGCCCGGGTTCGATTCTCGTTCGGGGCGCCGCGTCATACCTAAGACGTAAACAAAGGAAGTGACTGTTCCTTCGCCAAGCACTCGGCACTAGAAGTGAAAGTCACGGGTCTTTCGGATATAACCTTAAAAACGTAGGTCCCGTGTCACAGTAGGCGCTGGCACGATAAAGAACCCTCACTGCTCAATGGCCCTGAGTGCCGAGTATAGGTCTAAATTTGAAGCCCTTCACCGGCATACGGTGACGTCTCCATATGAATGAAAAATTGTCAAGAGGGACGTTAAACAATATACAATCAATCAATCAATCCGCCAAACTTTGACCCCTTTATAAAGCGCCTAACCTATACATTGGTAAGAGTAACAGTCGACAGCAGTGTAGACGGACGTCCGCTCTATTGCATTCGATAGCGACAAATTATTACAGTCGTACTACTAATATTAATGCAGGAAAGTAAGATACCAAAGAAACGTACAATAGTTGCAGAGCTCAGTTCATTATGCAAACAAATAAAATTTATACAAGTAACAGCAATAAAGTTTAAACAAATGTAATGCAAGCACAAACACTGGTCGCCATTTCACACCGGTACCTCTGACAATAAAGCAATCATATGTTAAGAACTCCAGGGGTAAACCCTGATGCTTATACCGCAAAAAGTGGAATTGAAAATGGCGAATACCTATTTACTACTCGTTCTCAGTTATAAACAGAGGCTCCTTGTCACGGAGAATTGGCATGATTAAGATCCCGCACTAAAAAATTCTTGGACGTAAAACAACATACAATCAATCAATCGTTTTAGATCCATGGTGGCCAAAACTTTAACTCACGACGTTTTATTCACAGAACTGTTATTCTTTGCAGAATGACGTATAATTGTCATTCACACTAAACATGAATTATTTTCTATTTCTTTTTTAAAAAATCTGGTAAACATGATACTAAATAAGGCATTTTTTCTGAAAGGGGAGGGGGCACGTGACAATTAACCATGACTGTTATGCTTTGTTTATAGGAAGAAAAATTGATCGAAATCAGAATTATGAGTATGGAGTACCAAAAAGGATTCACATCTTACTAATAACATTAAATTGGAGATTTTTTTTTTTTTTTTTAGATTTTTTTGTGTAATATACTGCTTGCTTGGAGTCTATGGGAAATACTGCGTGTTAAATAAAGACCAAGTCGTTTGTTAAAATCACTTAAAAGAAAACAGTTACATGTACAGGGAGCAGAAAATAATTCCGCTACTTATCCTAATTTTGGAGCTATAAAGTCCGAGATATTTAACTGTACGGGATTTCTCTGGTAGGGACAGAGACTTAATTTTACTTGCGTGGTACCTACAGGCATTGACGGTATTGCAGACCGTACGAGGCGCTAATCCCTACGTATTTACATTATACACAGGAAATCTATGAATATTATCTATGAGCTTGTTTAGGCTATATTTCATCGTACAAATTATTAGATCTCGACATCGAAAATAGACAAAAACGTTTGTAATGAATAATAATTGGAAAATTCCATGATTTCAGACTTATAACAAATATCAATCAAGTAGGATACTCACCGGGCGACTATTGTGAAAATGTACGGTATTACGTACTTTGCAATGGACGTTACGGCAGCAATGAGTTGGGTTCTTTGTAAAAATAAAATAAAGAAATACAGATTTCAAAAGTTGAATATTCATCCTTGCCTGTTCCTTTCAAAATTCTAAAAAACTATTTATAAAAATCGCAAATAAAGTAGTAATGAGAGCTTCAATTACGACCAATAGTTACATTTACTACCCGTTTGTCTGAAAAGTTGCGTGGTCCTATTTTTAGCAAATGTACTATTGTGAAAAATCCGCGAGAACGGTTGTTTCGTTAAGTTAACATTTTATATATGTGTTTGTATTTTTTGTAAATTAAGATAATAATAAAATAACTTACAACAAAATGTTAATTTAATTGTTACAAACATGGGTATTTCTTTCAAAACCATTCTTATAACACATTGTAAGGAGGAAACATTTCAGGTGGCAAGAAATGTTTGGTTCACGTACCCAATGCTGGACCGTTATTCACTTGATTGGCGGGGAATACAGACGAAGTAAATCAGAGGGCAGTGCAAATTATCTACATAACGGTGTTGAGATTAATTTGTAAGATAAGACTCGACAGAAAATTCAAACAACAAGAGGCAGAAATTATTGATCATACCGCAATCTATAAAATACTACATGTATATAGAGGATGTCTATATTGTGTGATATGATATTGTCCAACGAGTTTGAATTGAGTGTTTTTGCAAGGCTTGCCGAGCAAATATACACACCATTTCAATGAGTTGGATTAAGTAAATATCAAATCACACAATTATAGATGTTCTATTTATCTCATATGATTTTTGAAAAATAACTTGAGATAACCTCTTTGAAACTATAAATGATTTCTATTCAAATTGACAACGCATAAATTGATGGCGTCGCATTGTTTATGTTTACACGGATCTTTACTATTTGTTGGAGGTTTATTTCAACCTTTAACTGAATGTTGTAATGACCGGGGAATCATGAATTTTACGTTGATGTCATTCTTTGAATGGTACAAGGCTAGACCACCCTAACCTACTTGTACATTGAAGATCCTTGGT